TTTTTTTTTTGCTTCCCCCTTCCTTTTCTTCTTTCCCCATCCTAGTTTCTCTTTGCTTTTTAAGTTTCTTCCCATTTTTTGTACATTTTGGATCTCATGTACTCTTTCAGCTTCTCACACTAGGGAGACAATACGATGTTTACATATGTGTGTCTGGCTTATTTCACATGAGTATGGTCACAAGTTGCATCCATTTACTATAAAAGTCTCCAGTTTATCCTTCTTTATGGCTGAGTAGTGCTCCATTGTATGAAAATACCACATCTTTTTTATCCACTCCTCAGTTGATGGGCATTTGGATTGTTTCCAAGGTGTAGCTATGACAAATTGTACTGCTATGAACATGGGTGCACATATATCACTGTGGTACAATGTTTTTAATTCTTCTGGGAAGATACCCACAAGGGGAATAGTTGGTCAAATGGGACCTCCAATCCTAGTTTTTTAAAGAATCTCCACACCGATTTCCACAGTGGTTTCACCAATCTACACTCCTACCAACAGTGTCGAAGGGTTCCTTTTTCCCCATAACCCTCCAGCATTTGTTAGTGGTTGATTTCTTGATGATAGCCATTCTTTCTGGGGTGAGACAGAATCTCAGAGTTGTTTTAATTTGCATCTCTAGAATAACCAGTGATGTTGAGCATTCTTTCATATATTTCTTTGCTGTTTGTATTTCTTCATCTGAGAAGTGTGTATTCATCTCAGGTGACCATTTTGGATTGGGCATAAATTTGAACCCCTACCTTTTAAAAATTTTGTTTTGAGATAGGGTCTCAAGTCTGGCCTTGGACTTGTGATCCTCCTTCTCACCTGAGTATCTGGAATTACCGATGTGCAACAGCATACCCACCTGGACTTTGGCTAGATTTAATCTGTGTCATTTCTCTGAGATAAACTGTAACCACACATAGGACAGCTTTCGGTGAGTGCTATGTGAATTATGGAAACTGAGAGTGACCTGGGGAACCCTTGAACTTGTAAGTTGGTGTCAGAAAGGAGGGCAGGATAGGGGGTTGGGACCTCTAAACTTCCACTTGGCCCTAAGTCCCTTGCAGAAAGCTTTATGGAGTTGGTAGCACGAAGATGAGCCCTGGAAAATGAGTAAGACAGAAGAGGGAGAAAGAAGAGCTGGGAGGAATCTCACGTGATCAGAAGCCCGAGCAGGCATTTTGCATGGCAGGGGGATCCCAGTGGCATTGAACGGAAGGCTCTGTCTTGCTGACTTCAGCATCTTCGTTGTTCTGGGGGGCTGGGAATTTTGCTTAGCGGCACAGCGCCTGCCTGGCAAGTGCAAAGTCGTGAGTTTGATTCCTGGTACCCGAAAAAAAAAAAAAGATGTCATTGTTCTGGGAGTGCTGGTCACGTCAGCGTTCCATCACTGATGGATCTGAAGAAAGTTTGAGAAGAAATGTTGGTGAGAACATCCATATATGCTCAGCCCACTTTTAGGGTCACAAGTCAGCAGCTACCAGAAGACACTACCCTAAAACCAATCAACACTATTCCCAGTAGGGATGGATAATATCTCCCACTCTTGGGTACCAGAGGAAAATAGTGAAGAAAATACTACAAAATAATAATGGGAAAGCAATACTTCATGAATTCCTCCTATGTACCAGTTACTATTCTAAGGGTGAAGTGCAAAATAATAGAAAAATACTGAAATGTCAATAGATCATCAGTAAGTACTGGGAGCTTGATTAACTCTGGTAAAGTAATAGAGGCCTGTACTTAATATCCAAGACCTCTGTCCTTTCCAAAAAATTATAATCTATGACCAGTCTTCAAACTCACTCAAAAATTGTTTACAGCACTGGTGATGTAGCTCAGTGGTAGACCTCTTACCTAGTACGTGCTAGGCCCTGGGCTCAATCCCCGGCAAAGGAAGAGTGAAGAGGGCAGGGGAAAAAATGATTACAACCTCAAGATTGATTACTTAAACATTATACCTGAATCTGTAAAATCTTTTTACAAGAGAACTCCTTGATATGGGTCTTGACAGTAATTTTATGAACAGAATTCCAAAAGCACAGATAACAAAAGCAAAAATAAACAAGTAAAACTCCATAAAACTAAATATCTTTTGCACAGTAAAGAAAACAGTCAATAAAATGAAAAGGTAAGCTACAGAATAGGAGAAAATATTTGTAAAACTTACACGCAACAGGGTACTAATATCCAGATATATTAAGAACATAGACAAGTCAATAGCAGGAAAAAAAAAGATTAAAAGATAGATAAAGGGTCTCAGTGGACATTTTTCCAAAGAAGGTATGCAAGTGGCCAATAGGTACGTAAAGAAGTACTCACCATCAAGGAAATACAAATCAGATCTACCATAAGTACCACTATACCTGTTAGGATGGTTGTTATCAAAATGTCGAATAATAGCAAGGCGTGCTGGCACAGACCTATTGTTACGGCTTATGCCTAGATGTCCCCCCACAAGCCCCATGTAGTCATAGGTGGGGCTTTTTCAGAGGTGGCTGGATCAAGAGTGTGATTGATTCATGGTGTAATGCTGAGATTAATGGTATGTGATTGGTTTGGTATCACTGTAATCCCGATAGTCTGGATAGAGTATAAAAGGGGGAGAAAAAAGCTGCTAAAGTCCCTTGCTTGGTTTTGCTGTCTTCTGCCTGCTATGAACTGTTTCTCCTCTTTGATGCCCTCTGCCAAGCCAACCTGCCTTAGAGCCAGCTTATTATGAATTGAAACCTCTACAAATTGTGAGATAAATAAATCTTTCTGCTTTTAACTTTAGGTGTCAGGTATTTTGTCTCAGTGATGAGAAAAGTAACTAAAACACCTATAATCCCAGCTACTAGGGAGGCTGAGGCAGAAGGGTTGTAAATTCAAGCCCAGCCTGAGAAATTGAGTGACTTGGTGAGACAATATCGCAAAACTAAATAAAATATAATGAAATCAGATGGGTTAAGGATGTAGCTCAGTGCAAAAGGCCTGGGTTCAATCCCTAGTACTATAAAAAGAAAAGCTGGATGTGGTTGCATGTGCCTATAGTCTCAATACTTTGGGGCAATACCTGTCATCACAACACTCATGAGGCTGAGGCAGGAAGACCCCAAGTTTGATCCTACCTGGATAATTTTAAAAGGCTGAGTATGTAGCTCAGTGCAAAAGCCTTGGGTTCAATCCCCAGTGCTGGGGGGTGGGTTGAATAATAAATTGTGCATTGATTTCTAGTTTCATGTTTGTACATCTTATCTTTTTAATTGAAATCTGAGTTCCTTAAAAGGTAGGGAAACCCCATCACCAAATACAACTGTCACAAAACTGGGCACATACTATAGGAGCTTAGAGGGAGGTTGTACCTGATAAGAAAAGGTGTTCAAGTTGTGTTCCTTGCTTGCAGGGATTTTCCAGATGACCCAGGAGTGCAGTGGGACACAGAACACGTGGCTAGCGTCCTCCTCCAGCACATAGAGGTCAATGGCATCAGCCTGGTAAGAGGACACATCCTTCAGTGGAAAGCCCGGGTCCCCATCCCATCACATTGGTGGGTTTCTGCAATTTTTCCCGCGACTGGCCTACATCCAGTCCTGCTCAAGAGCCACTCTAGAAAGGCCCCAAACCTCCAATGTTCTCTCCTAAACTTACTAAGGAACAAACACACCCTTTTTTTTCCCTTCTAGTACTAGGGATTGAACCCAGGGCCTACACACTGAGCTAGATCCCTAGTTCTTTTTTAGTTTTTATTTTGAAACAGGACCTCACTAAGTCATCCAGGCTGGGCTGGAACTTGTGATCCCCCTGCCTCAAACTCCCAGGGTGCTGGAATTACAAGTGGGCTGCACCACATCCAGCTGAAATATGCCTTTTAGATCTTCTGTGTGACTAACTGCCTTACTAATGCCCAGATACAGGCAGAATTTTTTTCCAGAGTATGACTTCCTTGCCTCTGTCCTGCAGAATCGTGTGCTGTGACTCACATTTGTGCAGAACTTCACCTTGCACCATGCATGTTCACATTTAGAATATTATTTTCTCTTTAGAGAAAACAGGTTCCCAGAGCCCAAGTAGTTTTCCCAAAGTAGGCAAGTAATGAAGCTGGGATTGTAAAAATAGAATTTTAGGGTGCCTTGAACTATACCCAAGACCTTGTACATATTAAGTAGGGGCTCTACCACTGAAGTGCACCCCCAGCCCAAAGCTAGGGTTTTAATTTCACATTCCTAAAAACATGAGAGTAAATTCAGACTTACTTTAGAAGGAAATTTCAGTCACCATTAGAGCAATAGCAGACATTTATATTTACTTGCAAAGGTGGACAGGCTTAGCCACACCTAACTCAGCTCTACTAGGACTTAGCAGGTCTAGCCTTAGCCTGTGGTTGATTTTAAAGCTGCTTAGAAGGCCGACTGTCTAAATCTCAAAATAACAACAACAAGAATAATAGTAATAATCCTTCCTGAGGTGTTTGTTTTTTTGTTTTTTGGTTTTTTTTTTGTCTCTTTGAGACAGGGTCTCGCTATGCAGTTCAGGCTAGCCTTGCGCTCACTTTGTAGCCCAGGCTGGTCTCAAACTGGCAATGATCCTCCTGCCTCAGCCTCCTAGTGCTGGGATTATAGGCGTGCCCTGCCACGCCCAACATGTGATCTAATTTTATCTTCACCTATTTGTCAAGAAAAGTGGAGCAGTGTTACTTCCTTGATATCACACATAAGGAAGCCAAGACATTCCAAGTAGAAAACTTTTGATGAGTAGTTCTGTAGCTTGCCCAAGATGCTGCAGGTGGTTAGTGTCTGGGTGGCGAGACCCGGCCTCCCCCTACTTGTGTTGCCTGGAAGACAGGAAAGCACTGCATACTGAGGTTACATGATTAGCACCTTTAGAGACTGGTTTGGGGGGAGTTTTTTTGTTTCTGTTTTTTTCATTTTTCTAGTACATACTAGGGGTTAAACCCAGGGCCCTTGAACTGCACTACATCTCCGGCCCTATTTGTACTTTATTCTGAGACAGGTGTCACTAAGTCACCAAGTTGCCCAGGCCGGGCTGGAACTTGTGATTCTCCTAGGTCCGTCTCCCAGAACGCTGGGATTAGAGGTATGCACCGTCATGCCCCACTTGCATAGGCTGTACTGTCAAGGAGTTTTAGATCCTACTTTATGGTATGGTTTTGAGAGCCAAACGGTATAGCGTGCGGAGAAAGTTCTGCTGAAGATAACACGCTGTGATACATGTCGTTATTCCTATCGATTGTCTTTGGAAGAGCAGGATTGATTGTAAGGTAAAGGCCTACAATCCAAGAGGAAGAAAAAGACAAGATTAAGTGCAGGTAGGAGTATCACACTGCAGCAAATGTACCTTTGTATTTACACGCAAGACTTTAGAAATAGATCAGTGAAGGAGGATCTGGAGCTGTGAATTGTTGAAGAGGAGTACTGTCCCTCAAAGGTTAAAAGCAATGGCTGCCAGGCTGGGAACACAGCTCAGTGGTAAGGCAGTAGCCTGCAGCAGCATGCTGGACGTGCTGGGTTCTGTGCCCAGTATGGAGGGGAGAAGGGGGAGGAGGGAAGGCAGGCAGGAGGGAGAGAAGAATGAAAGAAAGTGATGAGTGTTGAACACTGGTGTGAGAGGAGGACCGTGACCCATCCTCCACCACCATGTAAATGACACTGCTATGTTCCAAATGGTCCCCCCAATTATTTTTCCCCATGTATTAGATTCCTGTGGTTGTTGCAATGAACTATTACAAATTTAGTGGCTTAGAACAGCAGATTTATTTTTTTACTTTTCTGAAGGTCAGAAATCCAAAAATCAACTTCACTGAGCTAGAGTCAGGGTGTTGGAAAGGCTGTTTCCTTCCAAAGGTGTGGAGGAAAAATGTATTTCCTTACCATTTCCAGCTTCTTGTGATCACCGTATTTCTTGCCTTATGAGCCCCTTTCCATCTTCAAAGTAGTGTGCCAGTTTCTGCTGCTGTTGTCACGCGTCTTTCTTCTCTGACCAGCACTCCTGGTCCCTCTTATAAGGACCTGCCATACTGGCGCCACCAGCTAGTGGAGAGTAATATCCCCGTCTGAAAGCCCTTAATTTAATCATTTGCAAAGCCCCTTTTGCCATGTGAGGTAACACTCAGAGGTTCCAGGGATCAGGACATATTTGGGGGATAATTATTCAGCCTACCAAGAAATCTTACTCCAGAGCCCTTGTTCACACTGAGGTGGCCGAGACTGAGAGCAGTCTAAGGATAACTTGTCCTTTAATGGAGACCTGATTTTGACACCGAAGGTTGAGATTCTCAGGGTGACAGTTAAGAAATCTGCTGGTGGTTGGGAGAAATGGGAGCACATGGCTGCAATAGTAGGGTCACTCTTAATCAAGACTGGCCCTGGGAAAACCTTCCTGCAGAGAACTTGATTCCTGGGAAACATTTCAGTAATGGCAGGAAACAAAAAGGAGGAGAGGGGCCTCACCGGAGAGGGGTTTCTCACTCTTAAGGAATGTAGCATCCACTGGCCGAACTCTTAAGATCATCCTGAGATTACCCTGAATTCACCTGAGATGGTGTTCTGACTCTTGATGGTGTTCCCAAAGGATAGTTCTCAAATCTCAGAACCTCACGATGACCAGTCAACATGTCCTATGGTTTTAACTAGAAAGACCACGAGAGCATCCCTTCCCAGCCTGCTGCAACTTGTTCTGAGTCCCTTCATCGTACCGAGTCACCTTCTTTCCTTCTTGTCCCATTCTTTTTCCCAAGTCCTTGTTTACTTTTTTATATTTCTTTATTATTCGGGTTCTGTTTTTTATTGTCATTATGCAAATAATCCTTTGATCTTTTTAATCCATCGGTGCCAAAATAAAATGTTGAATCCTAGACAGCTTGTCGATAGTAAACTATGCTGTATCTGTGAAAACGGAAGCCAGGCAGTCCATGAACAGATGCACTTTTTCTGCGTGCTCAACCCCAGGACATGGTAGTCACTGACCTAGAAAACTTTCATGCTGTGGTGTGGCATGAGGAAAAGAGTCCAGATAAATCAGGCAGCACTTACCCAACAAGGTTCACAGTGTAGCCAGCCAGGAAAATTAAATGTGCTAATAAGTAACCAAGCAGATAAGCAACACAGATATTCTGAACCAAGTTTCTTTCATGGCTGAATTATACTCTGCTCCACTGGCCAGGAATAAGAGTGACCAGTAAACCCATGTAAACCATCTTTATGTTAAAACCAGCCAGGCCAACAGTTACACACACTGATCTGCTTAGGAGTCAGTGCAGATATCCTCAGCATCTGAACAGTTTCAGGGCTCTGCTCTCTCCTCCTATTCCCTGTGGAATGGCGGCAGCTACTGAGAAAGTGAGTGAAAACTCTGTCTTTCTCCACAGGTGGTGACTTTCGATGCAGGGGGAGTCAGTGGTCACAGCAATCATATTGCTCTGTATGCAGCCGTGAGGTATGATTCTCTGGGTGATGGGGGTGGGAGAGGGTTTGCCCATTTGCTTAACTGTCACAGTTGCTAAAGCACTTTACCCCTGGATATCTGAGGCCTGGAAAATTTACCGTTGAATTATCAGACACCTATTGTTGGCTATGTTGCTTACTATAATTCCTGTATCTCCCACATCGTCCCTCTGAGAAATTGGTCATAAGTCTCAGCTGAAATGCTCATCTCCTAAACAGCTGACTTTTTTAGCCCCTGGATATGGCAAATGTGGTAACTGGTTTTATTTTGGCCACAGAAAGCTGCTTGACCAATTTTGCAACTCCTGTAGCACATGGGTAAGACTTTAAAGAGCTAGGCGTGGTGGTACATGCCTATAGTCCCAGCACTTGGAAGGCAGAGGCAGGAGGATCACTGTAAGTTCAAGGACATAGTGACTTCAAGGCCAGCCTAAACTACAAAGCAAGACCCTGTCTCAAAAAACAAACAAACGAAAAGACATCAAAGAATGAGCTCTGTGGATTAGTATGTCTTCTGGCTTCCTCTTCTTCCTCTTTACTCTCATTTTTATTTTATTTTGCTGTCCTCCATTATGAATTTTGTACATTACCTCACATCTCTTTTTGGAACAGAAGGACATAACTTAAAAACTATGCCAGGCATGGTGGTGCACGCCTGTAATCACAGCACTTGGGAGGCTGAGGCGGGAGGATAATTGTGAGTTCGAGACCAGCCTGGGCTACAAAGTGAGCTCAAGGCAGCCTGAACTGCATAGTGAGACCTTGTCTCAAAAAGACAAAAAAAAAAAAAAAAAATTGTAAAAAACTTAAAAACTATTAAATCTCATTTGTTTGTAATAGCTGCCCTACTTTACAGACATTTTTCTTCACTTTACCAATAAAACCAACATGGAACCTCAGAGATTTGGAGTGACTTAGGGTCATACAAACACAATGTTCCTGTCCCCTAGAGAAGTGCTTCTGCTGGGCCCATCCGCAGGGTAGTAGTCCCAGCACTCAGGAGGCTGAGTCAGGAAGATCACCATGAGTTCAAGCCAGCCTGAACTATACGGTGAGACTCAATCTAAAAAAAAAGACTGGCTACTGAGAATGGAAAGGGGCAAGTAGACATGAAGGACTCGTTGTATAATCTCCTAGTGCACTCAGCAGTCTCAGGCTGGACCAGTAAAGTATGTGAAGCTGGAAATGACCACCGCACCAGTCATTAAGAACTACTACCTTGTCTGACTGAGGCCATCATGGATTTGCCCAGCACTACAAGGTTCAACAGTGGCAGAGACAGAAGCAGAATCTCATTCTTCTTTCAGATGCTTGTGAAGGCAGATTCAACCTGAAGAACCTCCAGCCTTGTCCTTAAATTTTCTATCACTTATTGGAAGATGCAGAGATTATTACCCATATACTCTTTCCAGATTCCTCTCCCTGATTCCTTTTTTTTTTTTTTTTAATCTTTTTGAGACAGGGTCTCGATATGCAGCTCAGGCTGGCCTTGAGCTCATTTTGTAGCCCAGGCTGGTCTCAAAATCACAACAGTCCTCCTACCTCAGCCTCCTGAGTGCTGGGATTACAGGTATGCACCACGACGCCTGGCCTCTCCCTGATTCCTTGACTGTGGAATGAGAGGAGACCAGACTGCTCCCTCGTCCTGTGAAGACTGGTTACTTCCCAACCAGCCAGAGGTCACATTTATAGAGATCAATTGTGAGATATATTAGGTTTGTTCAGATTCTTTTTATTTTGTACGGGAAATCGAACTCAGGACCTTGTCTTTACCAAACAAGTGCTTCTGCCACTGAGCTAAATCCCTGGCCCTCATTCAGATTCAGGAAAGACACATTCCTCAGCTACAGTCAGTCTTTTGTGATTTTTTTTTTTCAGACTGAGTCTCACTGTATAGTTCAGGCTGGCTTGAACTCATGGTAATCTTCCTGACTCAGCCTCCTGAGTGCTGGGACTACTAGCATGCACCACCATACCTGGCTAGTCTTTTTTGCTTTTGTAATTTGTACTTTGCAATGTTTCTATGAAGAGACATGGAAAAGTGAGGTAGTCCAGAAGCAGTCTGTCTAACCACATGGTTACTTTGAGGCTCTCAGGACTTGCATGGACTTTTGTTTTAACCAGCTATTCACACTGTACCAGAGAAAGGATCCAGTCAGGTTTCCTGCAGACAAACCAAGATCACTATAACAGCCAAGGTTGCCATGGCACTGAGTTCTCTTATCTTGTTCCATTCTTGGTCCAGTCTCCACTGCAGTGGGGAATCAGGGAAGGCTCCATTCCAGTAGAGAACCCAGGGGAGACACTTTCTGTAAGCAGAACTGCCTGGGACCATTTTCCTCAAGAGCCTGGAGTACCACAGGCTCACCACACTTCCAGGTCCTCTCTACACTATTGGGGACACTGCACTTCATATAAAAACAACCTGTGGTCATGCTCACCATCTTCTAACCCTTTCTTCCACAGGCACTCCTGCCTGCTAAATTCATCAGACTCATTTCAGTCCTCCTCTGTCTTGGCCTTTCAGTGGCATGTGGCTCTGCCTGGCAGCCACTGAACTGCTGCTCTGACTGCCTGGCAGTGACTGTCCCCCGGCAGCTGGCTTTTCTGACCACCTCTCAGCCGCTTTCCGCCTTTGCTCCTCTGCCCCACCCCAGGGCTCCCTCCATAAGCTTGCTCAGTGAGAGTGCTTAGGCTGCAAGGGCACAGTGCGAGTGCCAGATGCAGGCCTCCAGGGCTCACCCCTTCCTGTGGACAGCCTGACCGTCACAAAGTCAGTGTCCCCAGGGGGCGGGACAAGTAATCTCCTTCTCAGGAACTCAGAGACCTTTCTCAGGTCTGTTCCAGAGAGTCAGTTCCAAAAGTTGATCAACTCTCTGAACTTCTTTACCCCTCTGCCAAGAGTCCTTGTTAGGTAAGTGTGTGTGTGTATGTGTTGGGTCAGGGAGCTGCCCACCCCAGCCTGTCTCCCAGCTTTTAAAATAACAAAGCGGGGAAATGAAATAAAATAAAATAAAGTGGGGAAGAAATGCAGAGATCACTGCTGGTAGGCTCACATCATCCCTCCTCTTATATTCTACTGTCATACATCACAGAGAAAAGCTTTTCAGAGCCCAAGGTAGTTACCTTCAAATATAACAGGCAAAGCTTGCATAGAGTCGTTGCGTAGGCCACAGAGCAGCCTTGGGATTAGCTCTCCTTGGCCGAGATGCCCACCCAGATCTCTTCATCTGTAGCCAAAAGTGTGGAATCCTGATGGTGATGTGTGCACAAGAAATCACTTGGGAGCCTGTGTGAGGCCCCGTGGAGCCTGCAGGCCTTTGTCCAGAGGCTGCCTTGGTGACACATGCGCACCGTTCTTACCCTCTCTCTTTTCTTTTCTCCCTCCAGGGCCTTGCACTCAGAAGGGAAGTTCCCTGAAGGTAAGGGCTGTCTTCTGGGCAAAAAGCTACTAGTTGCCATCCCTCGTGTAAACTTCTCAGAGAAAAATTTGCAAATACTTTTGACCCTCCATATCCACAAGTTCCATGTCCATGGATTCAACAACCATAGGTCAAAGTTACACAGGAAAGAAACCACATCCGTACTGAGTCTAGATAGACTCTTATCTTCTCATTATCTCCTAAACAGCACAGTACACGACATTTACATAGCGTTTACATTATGCTAGGTCTATAAGTAGCCTAGAGCTGTATTACAGTGGAAGACAAGAGGAAGTGTATGGATTCTGTACAAATACTATGTGGTTTTATATGAGAGACTTGTGCATCCATAGATTTTGTATCTGTGGGGCTCCTGGAATAAAGCCCCATCCGATATTGAGGAACAACTGTACAGTACAGAGAGCTGGCCTAGGTGGAGCAGAGGCTAGAGCTGGGAAGGCAGCCTCACTTCCTGACTCAGTTCTGTCAGGCTGCATCCACTGGCAAGTGCCCTGCGAGAGGGCCGATTCCAGATGTGCTGAGAGGCCAGGCTTGCCTCACACCTGTCTAGTTTCTCACAGGACAGTCCTTTTAGCCTCTGGTGTTCTGTTGGTCTGTCCACCCAAACTCACAGTCCCCAGCTAATTAGCAAGTTGCTGACAGGTGACAGATGGACTAATCTGCTTGAGAGTAATCTCTCCCTAACCCTCAGGAAGGCCTTTGATCCCATTTGGCCACACTGCATAGGACCCTTGCTTACCACCTATAGGCCAGTGTCTGCTCTGTCTTGCCTCTCAAGATTCAGTGAATGAAAACATAAGCAAATGAAAACATAGGCAGTGTGTGCCCTCTGCACTGGCTTTCTGAACTTACCAAGCTGAGAGGTCATAGAAACATGACTATAATTCACTTGATTCTTGTATCAACACTGTTTGGGGGCCGGGCATGGTGGTGCACACCTGTAATCCCAGCACTTGGGAGGCTGAGGCAGGAGGATCATTTTGAGTTTGAGACCAGCCTGGGCTACAAAGTAAGTTCAAGACCAGCCTGAACTGCATAGAGACCCTGTCTCAAACAACAACAAAAAACACTGTTCATCTCATACTATTAGCATTACTTTATAAATTATAAAACTGAGATTCAAGAGCTGGGTGCTGTAGTGTACATCTGTAGACCTAGATACTCTGGAAGCTGAGGCAAGAAGATTGCTTGAACCTAGGGGTTGTCCTAGGCCAGCCTGGGCAACATAATGAGACCCATATTAAGACCCTGTCAGGAGAGGGGGAGGGGAGGGGAGACAGAGAAGGGAGGGAAGAAGGAAGGAAGGGAGGGGGGAAGGGAGGAGGGAAGAAGGAAGGAAAGGAGGAAGGAAGGAGGGAAGAAGGAAGGGAGGGGGGAAGGGAGGAGGGAAGAAGGAAGGAAGGGACAGAGGAAGGAGGGAAGAAGGAAGGGACGGAGGGAGGAGGGAGGGAAGAAGGAAAGAAGGGAGGCAGACAAAGGAGAGAGAAAAGCAAGCAAGCTTGGCATGGTGGCACATGCCCATAATCCCAGACTTGGCACAAGGATCTGTGTGTCTAAGGCCAACTTGAGCAGCATAGGGAGTTGAAGGCCAGCCTAGACTACATAGAAAAACCCTGTCTCAAAAAACAAAAAGCAAAGAGGAAAAAGAGGAGGATTTCATTTGATCCAGCTATTTCCCTAAGTATCTTCCAAGAGTTAAAGATCTATTACAGAGATATATGTATTCTGATGTTTATAGCAGAATAATTCATATTAACTAAATCTTGAAAGCAGCCTATATGTCCATCAACAGATGAATGGACAAAGTGTGGTATTCGCATACAGTGGAGTACTACTTTGCCATGAAAAGCATAAACATGTAGTTTGTAGGAAAATGGATGCACTTTAAGACTAATGTTAAGGGCTGGGAGGTAGCGTGCACAAGGCCCTGAGTTCCTTCCCCAGTACCACAAAAAAAAAACACTGTAATGTTAAGTGTGATATCGGACACACAACCTTAAATATCATGTTGTTTCTCTTAAATGAGAAACGCAAAGTAAAAATAAAGAGCAAAAGAAAAGAGAGATGACGGGAAGTACGGGGACAGCTCTTTCTCGGGGCGGGGGTCGAGAGATGGGGGAAGAGAGAGGGAGCAGATGAAAAAGGCATTCTGAAAGAGGCATTCAAATGTGCGTGCCGCTCCACTCAAGGAATGGAAACATGTACTGCAGACGTGCTTAGAAAAAGCAAAGTGATCAAGAGATGATGGCCAGGGGAGGCGCGGAAGGGAGAGGTGATGAGAAAGGAATTAAGGTGTCATGTACAGGTACCAGCTCCACAGGAGCATGGGCATTATGTACTAGACATACATGCCAATAAAACAGAAAAATTTTAAGGGCTGGGGATTTAGCTCAGCAGCAAAGCGCCTGCTTGGCAAGTGCAAGGTCATGAGTTCAATTCCTGGTACTGGAAGAAAAACAAAAAAAAATTTTAGATGTTAGTTGGAAAAAATTTTTAAAATAAAAATATATAGATCTTCCAGAAAAAAAAGAGGATGAGGCAGAGGAGACGAAAGGAACAGAGAGGGAAGGAAGAAGAAAGAGGGAGGAAGGAGGAAGCCTGGGACTCAGAGCAGCTGAGGGACTTTTTTTTCCAGTATTGGGGCTTCAGCTCGGGCCTTTATACTGAGCTACATCCTCAGACCTTTGAAAAATTTTTATTTTGAGACCAGTGTCCCAGGCTGTGCTCAAACTTCCAGTCCTCCTACTTCAGCTTCCCAGAGTACTGGGTTACAGGTGTGTCCAGCTTCAACTTGGTCAGTTCTTGAGCGACAGGGCTGGAAACACGTCTCTGGCCTCCCATTATAGAAATTCCTGTTTTCCTTGGCCTTGAGGTAGCCAGACGCCAAACTCTGGTCACCCACCTCTTCCTGCTGGGGCTGTTGTGGGGCAGAGGGCAGCCTATCAGGTCTTGTGTGGCCCCTCACCCTCCCTGCCAGTGAGAATGCTGGGCAAAGAGCAGCTTTGGTGCCACAGAGACACTCGGCAACTCCATGGCAAGTGGCCCGCTCTCCCCTTAGCCACTGGGGAAGATCTGCTCGGGAAGATCTGCTCAGGGAAGGCTCTTCTCTCTGCACCCTCCCACCCAGGCTGCTCTGTGCTGACGCTTCAGTCTGTGAATGTGCTGCGCAAATACCTCTCCCTTCTGGATCTGCCCTGGTCTCTGCTGCGCACGCAGGATGTCCTCTTCGTGCTCACCAGTGAGGAAGTGGCCCTGGCCAAGGTGAGCACTGCGAATTCCTGGACACCCCCATCTGGGCGCCTGGCTCCACAAAACCCTGCAGGAGCCCTTGCCAGACCTTCCACACGGGCCCGCACCTCTCCCTGAGTCTTAGAACCAGGCCAGCCAGGGTGTGGCAAGCACAGACTTAAATGACTTTGACCTTTTTTTCTGATTATAATAATTTTTTAAAAGCCACTAAATGACTCATGCTTATTGTAGAAAGTTTAGAAATATATAAAAGCATCAAGAAAATAAGAGAAGGCCAGGGATATAACTCAGCAGCACAACACCTGCTTGGCAAGCGTTGAGGTCGTGAGTTTGATTCCCAGTACCAAAAAAAGAAAAAGGAAAGAAGAAATAAAAATTACCTGCAAGCCCACCACTCAGAAGTAATTGTTAATACGTTGGGCTATACTCTTCAAATATATATATAGTGAGTTATATATAACTCCTGCTACTTAAAATTTGCTTTGCCAGACATGGTGGCCCATGCCTGTAATCAGCACTTGGGAGCCTGAAGCAGGAGGATCACTATGACATAAAGATCAGCCTGGGCTACATAGTGAGTTCAAAGCTAGCCTAAGCTACACAGCAAGAGCCTGTCTCAAAAGAAAACAAAAACAAAAATAAATCTTTAACGAAATATTATGAACATTTTCTCCTGTGTCACTAAGTATTCCAAATGTAATGGCTGTCTAATATCTCACTTGTACAGATGGATCATAAAATACCTCCAGCATCCTTTATCTTTGGACATTTCAGATTTGCCAGTTTTCTACTATTATACATGGAGGAGTGCTCCCAGCCTGAGTCTAAAAAGAATCCAGGCAGGCGCTGTACCGCTGAGCTGTATCACCAGCCCTAAAAAGAATTCAGACTTGGCCACACCCTCTGTAAAAAGCCAGTGGGGGCAGCCTGCCATTTCAGGTGAGGAAGAGAGGCCCACGAGGCTCTCCTGGTGAAAATGCTTAGCTGGCAGTGGAACAGGTGACCCTAAGAACCACTGAGTTGGGAGAGGCAGGTGGAGGGGAATTGCACCAGTTTTCTCCAAGTACAACCTCCAGACCTGAATCGAGCACAAAAAGAAAAGTAGCAGTGAGTGAAACTGCTTTGTTAGAAACTGAAGGATAGGGGCTGGGGATTTAGCTCAGCGGCAAAAGCGCCTGCCTGGCAAGCGCAAGGTCGTGAGTTCGGTTCCCGGTACCGGAGAAAAACAAAAAAAAAAAACAAAGAAACTCAAGGATAATTTTCTATGATAGACACCTTTTAGTTTTTTGAGACAGGGTTTCACTGTGTAGCAAAGGCTGGCCTTGAACTCATGGCAGTCCTCCTGCCTCATCCTCTCAAGTGCTAGATTACAGGTATGTGCCACTATGCCCAGCCTTAGATTTATTTCTACTAACCAATTTTTTGTTTTCTGTTTAACATTCCCCTCGGATTGGTTGAGTTTTCCATAGTCCCTTCCCTTCTGTTTTTCTTTGGGGGAGGTGTTTGTTTGTTTGAGTTTTTTGGTTTTTTTGAGACAAGGTCTCACTATATATTTCAGGCTGACCTTGAACTCACTGTGCAGCCCAGGCTGGCCTCAAACTCTAGCATTCGTCTTGCCTCAGCCTTCCAAGTGCTCCTATTGGTGTCTGCCAACATGGCTGGCTGACTTCTAAAATTGTAAAGTCATCCATCACTATAAAATTCAAAGCAGTGAGTTAATCAGTAATTTGTGCTCCTTTGCACACTTAACTGCACACACTCGATTCTTGCCCACTCTCTTTAGTGTAGCTTAGGCTGCTAGGCTGTTACAGCTGGATTATGCTTGATTCCTGGCCGTCATCGTTCTTACACATTTCTTTTGGGTTCTCCTTTTGCTGATGTATATTCTTTAGTAATTCTGTTGCTGGTGTTTTCTTTTGCAGTGCTGTGGGTTGAACCCAAGGCCTTGCGCATGGTAGTAAGTGTTCTACCACTGAGCTAAACACCCTAACTCTTCTTCAGTAATTTTTCAAGTGACAGTCTGAGAAAGACAAATTCTCTTAGCCTTTAGATGTTTGGATGTCCTGTCTTTTGAGTGAGTTTAGCTGGAGAGGATAGTTTATTTCCCCTTTGCTTTTTTTTTTTTTTGTACTGGAGATAAAACCCAGGGCCTTTACACTGAACTACATCCCTGTGGGTTTTTGTTTTGTTTTTGAGACAGGGTCTCACTAAATTGCCCAGGCTGGACTTCAACTTCTGCTCCTCCTCCCTCTACCTTGCAGAATGCTGGGATTACAGCTGTGTGCAAGCATTTTTAGTACCGGAAATCAAACTCAGGACCTCATGCTTGCCAGGCAGGCATTTGTGCCACTGAGCTATATCCCCAGCCCACCTCAGCATTTTTCAAGATGTATCTCTGTATTTCACTTCATCTTTGACAGCATCTATGCCGATAAAAGCCTGGTGTTATATAATCTTTTTTCTTTGTGAAGGTTACCGCTGTATTTCTGGGCCCTACTGTCTTACTGCAGTATGTCTATGGCAGACCTTGTTTACACGATCTGCTTAGTACTCTCAACCCGAGCACCCATACTTAGTGCTTCTGAACAGTCCTCGCTTGATACCTCTTCCCTTGCCTTCTGTGTAATATTCCCTTCATCCTCATTCCAGGACGCCTAGTAAGTATACATCAGGCCCTAGAAATCTAGGTTTTGTGTCTTTCTGTATTTTTCAGTGCTGAGGTTGGAACCCAGGGCCTCTTTCCATGTTGAGCAAGTGCTGTACCACTGAGCTGAGTCACACCCCAGCCCATTTTGTGTTTTGTTTTGTTTTGTTTTTTTTTTTTTCACTCTCCGCCTGTCTCATTTAATTTTTTATTTTGAGACAGGGTGTTCTAAGATGCCCAGACTGGCCTTGAACTTGCACTTGCCTTTCCACAGCCTCCTGTGTAACTGGGATTATAGGATGTGCCACCATACCTGGCTCTTTGTGTTTCTTCATTTTCCTTTTAAAATTTTTTTCTATTTCATATTTTGTTTTCCAAAATTTGTCATTTTTTATTTCCTGTGTACCCATTGTTACATCTATCTCATAATTTCTTATTCTCTTTTAGAGTTTTTCTGCTTTTATTTAGCTCTTTGAACATCCTAAATTTAATTCTTTTAGCTTAGATAAACTGTTCTATAAACCTGTTTTTATCAAGAATATATTTACAGCCCAGTTGCTGGGTTTTTTTTGTCTTTTCATTAAGTTACTTTGTGTCTTCAAGAAGTCTGCTGTGCAAATTTGGGAAAAGGTGCTGTAGGTTCTTGATTTTATCTTCCTCTTCCTCTGTGTCCCCGCCTGTCCAAGAGCTTTGCAGTTGCTGAACGGCCAGGATCTGGTCCTCTGATGCCAGTTCCAGTCTCTGGCTGATTCTGCACTAACGAGGCACAGTGCTGCTACCGCTGCACTCAGCTCTCTGTGCACTGCAGCAGGCACTGCTCCCCCAAGCTTTGCTCCACAAGCGAAGGAGACCCTTCCCGGCTCCAAGCTCTAAGCTCCAAGTTTGGGTCTCCTATCTCGCAAAGCCAGGAGTCAGCAAACCTCCACCTTGAGTCCTCACTCCTATGTTTGCATTCTGTATGTTCATGATGCTGTGGATCTTAACTTTCACCCATTCATGTTGTTTTTTGTATTCTCTTTATGTTTTCTGTCTTGGCTATGTGTGTGGAATAGGATGCATGGATTTCCTGCACTCACCATGTCAGAACAGTGGAATAATTTTGAGAATAAGAAAATAAAAAGTAATTCTTTTGCTAGCAAAGTGGAAAAGGTCATATTAGAAATCATTGTTAAAGCTTTAATGAAACAGGTATGTAAATTGCTACAGCCCTTCTGGGAAGCAAGAATAATGAATGTGAGGGGCTGGGGATATAGCTCAGCGCCTGCCTGGCATGCGCAAGGTCGTGAGTTCAATCCCCAGTACTGCAAAAAAAAGAATAATGAACGTGAGAAACTGTTTTTACCTTTTTGCTTAGAGAACATTTTTACCTTTTTTGTTGTTGTTGTTGTTGATAAATTACAGAAAACAAACAGGTTACTACAAAACAGTATATAGAGAGCATGCTGTATTTTCCACAAGAACATGCAAAACACTAATAGTGATTACTTCCAAATAGTGGGATTCAAGGCATGTTTTTCAATTTTAAACATTTTTATAACCTTGTATTACTTGTATAATTCATACTGTGGCCCAATGATTTATATTTCTCTAGAATTTTAAGGAAATGAACAAAGATGAGTCTATAAACTTATGTGCAAGAATGTTCTTTAGTGTAATTTAGAGTAGTCAAAATAGGTTCTAATATTCGGTAGGTAAATTATACAGTACTGTATAACCAGTAAAATCAACATTTTGAAAGGTAGGTAGTGAAAATGCTCCAGAAGAGGGAGAAAAACAAAAAAACACAAAACTGTGCACACAATTTTGATTTTTTTCAGTATCCCTTTGAAAATTTGAGGCTATCATACCGGCCCTGATAGCCCACGCTGTGTTTCCCAGACACAATGTGGACTTTCATCTTTGATCTCACCCTCTTTTTCTATTTACTTGGTCCAAGCTCACTCTGCAGAGCCAGTTTCTCTCCCACTCTTCACTTTTACTTTCTTGAATATTTTGCCACTGCTAAAAAAAGAAAAAAAAAATGTGAGTAAAGCTAATAAAAAATATAGTTAATGAAAAACTAAATTGAGAAGAAATAAATAATTTCTCTAGGTGCCCATCTTATTGAATGAGTGCTGTCACTGAAAGATTAGGTAGATAGGCCAATTGAACACCACGATGTGGGAAATCTGTATAACAAGGTAAGTATTCCAAGGAGACAGACCAAGTGTGGCTTAGACTGTATAAAGGCCATGACTTCTCCCAACAGTTTCCTAAACATTTATTTTTATTATGGTATTCAGAATGTTCTATTTTCTGAGTTCAGACATCCTTTTTGCTTCTGGTAATAAAGTTTACTTAAAGGCTAGGGATATAGCTCAGTGGCATAAGCACCTGCCTAGCAAGCACAAGGTCGTGAGTTCGATCCCCAGTACCGCAAAAAAAAAAAAAAAAAAAGGATAAAGTTTCCTTAAAATGTTTACTTGTGTTTCCTGTGGAAAAGATGATATATAATATTTTCCTGAATATATTCTATGGTGATAATTCTGTTCCAATTTATTTTGTCATCTAAAGCTTGATTATCACAGGTATGTTCACTCCTATAAAGTCATGTAGAAGTTAAATTATAGTACTCAAAGAAAAATAGCAAGCTTTCACATATGTCATATATAGTTAAATCAGTTGCTATAATCTGTTTAAAAACTGAACTAGAGCTGTGTATGGTGGTGCACAGCTGTAACCCTAGCTATTTAGGAGCCTGGAGCTGGAGGTGTAGAAGTTGAAGACCAGCTGGACAATTTAGCGAGACCCCGTCTCAAAATAAAATGAAAGGGGGGAAGGGGCAAGGATATAGCTCAGTGGTAGAGTGTTTACCCAGCATCCACAAGGCCCTGGGTTCAATCCCAGCACCATGGGAAATTAAAAAAAAAAAAAAAAAAAAAAAAAAAAAAAAAAACTGAATTAAAATAACAAGATAATATACATTCCCCTGCTAGAAGGTGGGAAGGACAACTCATATCCTCCCCAAGACTTCACATACCTTAGGGGAGGACCCCACCACAGAACTACACCCCAGACCCCTTTTTCTCCCTCTTCTTCTGAAACACCCTTGTGCTGTACAAGTAAAGTAGTGGAGCAAAATGATTAAGAATGCAGGCCACAGGGGCTGGGGATTTAGCTCAGTGGCAAAGCACCTGCCCGGCAAGTGCAAGATCGTGAGTTCGGTTCCCGGTACCGGAGAAAAAACAAAAAAACAAAAACAACAACAACAGCAACAAAAAATGCAGGCCACAGAGTCAACCAGATGCTCTGAGTTTGAATCTCAACTCTGGGGGATGGGGATATAGCTCAGGGGCCCAAGCGCCTGCCTGACAAGCGCAAGGTCCTGAGTTTGATTCCCAGTACCAAAAAAAAAAAAAAAAAATCTCAACTCTGCTGCCTACTAGCTATCTGAGATTGCTTAGTTTCCTCATTTGTTTTAAGGGAGGAAAAAAATGGCTAAGCATGGTAGTATAGGCCTATAATCCAAGCATTCTGGGAGGCTAAGGCAGGAGGATCATAAATTCAAGTCCAGCCTGGGCAACTTAGCAATCAAGCAAGACCCTGTCTCAAAATAAAAACTGAAAAAGAGCTGGGGATGTAGCTCAGTGTGAAGGGCCTAACTTGAATTCCCAGGACCAAAAACCCAAAAATTAACAAAAAATAATACCTAATAATATTAGTATTTAACTCACAGCACTGTTCGCATTGAGGTGATGGCTGTAGACTGCCTCTGGTGTTATGTGGGCAGCAAGTGCTCCAGGTGTTCTTTGGTGCATCTGCTGTAACCACAAGGAGCTGGGAAGCAGAGGCAGTGTTAGAGACCGGTCAGTGTGCACAGGTAGATGCCGGGGAAACTGTAGGTGCAGTGTGTTCGTGGGAGGAAGGGTTTCAGAGTAAGAAAGCAGATCTGACAGTAACAGAAATAGAGAAAGTGTCCATAACTGGTCCCCTTTGTTCTTTTCTAGAAAGCCATGTCCTGCCACCATAGCCAGCTCCTGTGGTTCCGCCACCTCTACATTCTCTTCTCCAGGTACATGAGAATCAACTCACTGCACTTCCTCTCCAGCCTTGAAGAATTTTCAGATCTAAGGAACAAAGGAGAGCAATAGACCAGGAAACCCAGGGACCTGGCCTGAAGCGGGCTTAATTCCCTGAGCCAAAGGAAAGCACAGCCAAAGAGCCTCTGCGAAAGAGAGGCTCTGTGGGCAAATGTGCTACCCAAACTTCCTTAGGCTTCTTCTTCTGGGGGGAAAACTCTGAAATAGCCAAAAGCAAACCAGCTTCTGGATAATAATAGCTACCTGCTAGCTTCTCAAGTCTTTGAGAAACATTTTACATGATAATACAGTGTATATCAAATACCTAGCACAGAGCTTGGGCAGGTTCTTAACCACAAATGAATGTAAAAGTGCCCTAAAAACACTTCACAGATGTGTTTTTACATGGATTCCAGAGCAGGGTGTCTTGGTTCATTTTCTGTTGCTATAATTGAATATGACAAATCCAGTAACTTATTAAAAAATAAGAGATTTATGTAGCTCACGATTCTGGAGGCTGGAAATCCAAGGATGTGGTGCTAACATCTGCTTGGCATCTGGGAGGGGCTTTTCACTGCACCCTAACAAAGCAGAGGATGTAACATGATGTGAGACAGAGTGAGCAAGCGAGAGTGCTCAGTCCTATAACGGTTACTCCCACAGCGACCCATTAGTCCACTAATCTACGAATGACTCAGTTACCTGTATGACCTAGGTGGGATCCAAAGGGTCGCACCTTGCAACACGAATGCACTGGGGACCGTATCTCCAATGTGACTGCAAGGGGCCATACCCAAACCATGGCACAGGTTCACTTATACACACACATACATATACACATACAACATTCTAAAAAAAAAATACACTAATTTATTGCATCAGCTTAACCATAATTCCTGAGACTTTGCCTTGTGTACTACGTATCAGAATTTGAGGAAACCATGCTATATTTAACATGACTATCACTGATTGGAGCACCCAAGTGGCTTTTGCATATAAAGATGATTACAGGGCCTGAAGACCTTGCCCAGGGAGAGCTTACAGTTGACTATCTCCAATCTCAGTCTTTTAGGAAAAGTAGGAAATAGGAAAATAAATCTAGAAGTAATTCATAATTTATTTTTTGAACTATTTATAGATTTGTAGTAGTGGGGACTGAACCCACAGTCTTCACACTGAACTACTTCCTCAGATCTCCCCACCCACCTACCTTTTTTTTTTTTTTTTTTTGGTGATCCTCTTGCCTCAGCCTTCCAGAGTGCTGAGATTACATGCAACTTTTAAAAAAAAAATTAAAGTATCTAATGTCTTTAAATTTTCTATAAGGAAAAGCTAAGAAGTCTGGCTTGGAAGCTATTTCCTGAGGTAGGGAAGCTCAGTTGGGAAGAAACAGACTGGTGACCATGGGCTAGAAGCCAGAATGACCAGCAGTATAATTACAGGCAAAGCACCAAACCTTTCCCTCCCTCAATTCTTTCATCTGCAAAATGGGAAATATTAATATTAATATCTTAGAACTGAACAAGAAGATGCTACACTAAGAGGCGTAGCAGAACATGGCTCACAGCACCAAGAAGGACTAAATGCTATTGCTCTTCTGAGAAAGCATAAGCAGGCGCCAAGCAGAGGGGCTGGCCTGTACTACCTCTCTGAGGACAATTTGGTAATTTCTAGAAAAATTGCTTATACTTTGATCCAGCATTTCCACTTTAATTTATACTACAGATTTAGTCAACATGCCTAAAGAGATATGTCAACGATAGACATTGAGACAGTAATTCTAATAGTAAACTACTCACACATTCAAAATGTCCCGCAGTTGGGGCTGGGGGTTTAGCTTAGCGGCACAGCGCCTGCCTGGCAAGCACAAGGTCGTGAGTTCGGTTCCTGGTACCAGAAAAAAACCAAAACAAACAAAAACAAACAAACAAACAAACAAACAAACAAAAAAAAAAAAATATATATATATATATATATATATATATATATATATACACACACACTCAAAATGTCCCCCAGTTGATAATTGGTGAAATAAATTGTGAATGTAGCAATAGAATAGATTATAAGGCCTTTTTTTGAGTAAGGCAATACATCAATATGGAAATATTTCTAAAGCATATTATGTGACAAACACAAGATGCACAACAGTGTTAGAGAACGCACCATTTGGGAGGGAGTAGAAGTATTTTCTACACATGTGTGCGTCAACGTAAAGGTGATCTTGGTAATTGCTTATCTTTGAAAAAAATAATTGGGTAAAAGGAAGGGAATTTATATCTTTTATACCTTTTGAATTTTGTACAATTTGCATGTATTACTACCTATTCAAAAATATTTTCAAATCTTAGAGGTTAGAAAGATGTATAGAAAGCCAGGCGTGGTGGTACATGCCTGTAATTGCAGTACTCAGAGGCCTGAGGGAGGAGGATCACTGTAAGTTCAACACAAGTTTCAGGCCAGCCTGGGCCACATAGTGAGCTCCAGGCCAACCTGAACTACATGATGAGACCCTGTCTCAAAAACCCAAAACAAAATTTTAAAAATGTGTGGAATTACACCACTCCTGGTTGGTGAGAACTGAAACTTACTTTCTGCCTTTTACTTTTGTTTTATTGTACATTCCAGGTTTTAAAATAAATTAAAGTCCAGAAAGGAAATTTGAGTGTTTCTATTTGCTGACTGCCTGGAGGGTGCCGTCTGAGGGTGAAGTCTCCTCCCCATCTCCTTCTAGCACCTCCCTGGACTCTCACAGCAGCCAGGGGTGCACATTAGCTGCAGGTTCCCACCTGGGTTCCTGGAAGAGGACACTAGAACTGGGCTCTCCTTGGTGCCAGGAAAGGGCCAAGGGACAAACAGCACAGGAAGGAAGACCTTAGAGGCCAATAAGGTTGCTACCAGCAATCCCTTGGTTCCTGCAGTTGGAATGCAGCCCTGAGGACACCCATCAGGGCAAGAGGGAGGTGTCTTTGTATAAATTATCCAAAATCAGCTCTTCCAACTGGCAGGCATGTTCCCTCCTCCTCTCATTCCGTACCCTCCCTTCCTTGGTGTCAGATGCGTCTTAGAAATTAACAAACTGCTAAATTAGGCAGCAGCTCTGAAGCCTGGAGCAGAGGAAATTTCACAGTTCCTGAAGGAACCCAGAAAAAAAGAGAAAAGCCAGGTATGGTGGCATACATGTGTATTCCCAGCAACTCCCTAGACTGAGGCAGGAGGATCCTGAGTTCAAGGCCAGTTTGGGCTATAGGGGAACTGCTGAGGGAAGGTACAGGAAAGAGAATGACCCCCACCTACGTGTGTGGTGGGAGGAGAAACAACTAAGAATCCCCCAGGAAGCGCTGTGTCCACTTGCTCAGTCCTCAGAGCGCCTCCCGGCTGGGGACAGAGCTAACAGCGGGTACCGAGAGACCTGCACACAACCCTCATGCAGGAAAGGGCTGATGGTTTGTCAGTTCTCATTCAAGAGAAGAGCAGAAATCGCTGGATCTCCCACCTCTCAGCTTTGGCCATTACTCTGCAACATTGACCTGTGAAGGAAATAAAAACCAGGAGCAGACAGGCTGAATACAAAAGGGGGATGGGTCTCTAGCCTGAGGAGCCTCAGAGAGGGGACAGGAGGTGGGGAGGGATTCCATTCTCTGGAGGAGACAGATCTCAGTGGAGTAGCAGCTAACAGGAAGAGACTATTGAACATCATCATGAAAGCTCTGGATCTGGGCAGACAAAAAAGGATGCTCTCAACAGTGGCCAAGCCAGCAATGTGCAACCCCAGATAAAAGGTATACCTGAGAACAGAGGGAGAACCAGGCATGATGGCACACACCTGTCATCCCGGCATTCAGGAGGCTGAGGCAGGAGGATCACCGTGGGTTTGAGCCCAGCCTGGGCAACATAATGAGTTCAAGACCCGCTTGAATTACATAGCGAGGCCCTGTCTCAAAAGTAAACAAATACATAAAAACAGAGAAGGAGAAAAGCAAGAAGTGGAGATCGTGGCAGAAATAAAAATTGAAAATACATCCGAGTGTCATGATGTAAGTGACAGAAATTCACCAGGTGTGGTAGTGCACACCTGTAATCCCAGCACTGTAGGAGCTGAGGCAGGAGGATTGCTGAGTTTGAGGCCAGCATAGGCTACATAGTGAGACACTATCTCAGAAAAACCAGATAATTCCAGAACAAGAAAAGGCCACAGATGGGCAGGCAGGTCATAATTTAAATAAAACGAGTCAGCACATGAAAAGAGGCCAACAAATCCCAAACAGCTGTGGGTTGTTAAAAAAGAGAACAAAAGTACAGGGGCCGAGGAGATGCTGTGGGGGTCACTTTTAGCCCAGGGTGACATGACAAACAGAAACGGGGCCCAGCCGGGACTGTCAGGAAAGGAAAGGAAGCCACTTGCAGGATGGAGAGCATTGCGTCCAAAGGCAGGTAAAGCAGGAAACGAGAAGAGACCTTAGAAGTCTGCAAAAGAGCATTTAAAATAAGAGGAAATAAGGCATGAAATGCAATAAGCATAAGGACAGACTACAAGTAGAATAAATCAGCTACCAGTTAGTTCCAGGAAATTCAAATGGGCTGTTTCCCTACCAAGAGAGCCTATAGCCGAGCACTCACATAGTTCCAGCTACTCAGGAGGGTGAAGCGGGAGGATCGTAGGTTTGGGTGAATTGGTGAGACCCTGTGTCAAAAGAAAATAAAAAGGGCTGGCAACACAGCTCAGCATTCAAGAAAAAAGACTACCTCATTAAGTCAGATGATGAGATCTAGCTGCATCTTTAGGTGACAGGGGCCAAAACTAAAAGGATGCCTCATGTACTGTACTCCAGGCAAATGGAAAGGAAGAGCAACATTATAAACAGAGGCCAAATATGACTCCCAAAGCATTAAGCTGGACAAAAATGAATATTTCATAATAACAGGCTCACTCCATCAGCCAAATGCATGAAACGAAACCACCTAGAAATACAGGATCTTTATTTTTTTTAAAAAAAGAAAATTATAAGAGGTTTTGATGTTTTTCCAGAATTCTGACAAATCAAGTTGGCAAAAAGTAAAACCAAGGCATTTCTAAATCAACATTCATGTTTTTGTGTGTGTATGGTACAAAGGACTGAAACAAGACAGTGCTTAGCTACATCCCTATTTGTGAAAAATCCATTTTTCACGCTTGGGTAGAGCCACCTGGCTGAAGTTTGGGATTGGATCTGTGGGACAGGTTTTCAGATCTCAGCAAGGAGCAAAATGAGGACCACAGAGGACACAAACAGGGATTTCACATACACACAAACATACCCTGGCAGTCAATGTTAAGAAATAAATCACACCACTAAGGAAAGACACATAAGTTAAAAGAAAATGCCATATTCACTTACCTAGTCTGCAAAGATTTCTATGAATAATAATGTCCAATGTCTTGCAAGGACACATGGAAATAGACATCTGGAATTTAATACATCAAAAATCTTAATAACGTACACATCCTTTGACTCTGTAA